TGGGTTTCAGTGTTCTGATGTCCTGAGCAATGCCAGCTCTCCATCCAAACATCCTGTGGTCTCTCTGAACATCCTGTTGGAGACAAGGCTCAGTCACCAGCTGCCCATGCCACAGAACCACACACTGTGGCTGGTCACTGCTCAGCACACCTCTGTTCACTCCTGGAAGCAAACAACACATCAGAAAGTGAGGAACTGACACCACTGATTCAATAGGTCTCTCCTAATGGCTTTCCACCTATGTGAAAATTTAAGAGAGATTTTCAAAGGCACCTGAAGGATCTGGACACCCAAACCCACTGCCAGCAGGGCTCATGCTGCTAAGCAACAAAGACATCTGACTATATCCTTCTGAGAGCACACTAGCCTCATTAGAGTCAATGATGTAACTTCTGTATAAAACTGATGCTGCCTTCTCCACTAGACCTCTGTGCAAGAGGATTTTGGTTCCCCAGCTTATCTTTAGCAGCAAATGCCCTGGTTCCATGAAGAGAACTATCGTTCCCACCCTTACTGCTCGTGGTCAGGAGGAGGGTGCCTGGTGTGAGAACAAGCGAAGACACCCAGCTCAGTACCAGAACATCAGCCCACTTCAAAATACCACCCAAATAGGAATTGGAAAGGTCTTTTTTACAGAGGCCAGAGCCTTCCCTAGAGGTTGGACCTGTAAGATGAACTACTCCATTAGTTCAGACTGTATGTGCTACGGATACTCTGAAGGTGCTTCACCTCAAACTTCCTTATGCTGAATTTTCAATACAAGCTGCAAAGAAGGTCCAAAACCTGTCACTGAGCAGCCTGGGAGTGTTCAGCCCCAGGCACAGTGTTACCTCTAACACTACTGTTGTGCCACAGTTGGCCAGCACTGCTTCCCCCAGCACCACGCTAACACCAAAGCATCCAAACGCTTCCAAATAGCCACCAGTGAACACTTCAGGTGTCTCCTGTGCTCAGTGAATTTATTCAGACAAACGATGAATGAAACCCTTTCAAACAGCGGAATGACAGTGAGCAGCCTCTGGCTGTTGAGGAGCCACAGTCCATGCCACAAGCCACCAACCTGCTCAGCATTGCAGGGAAGGCAAAAGGCTGGAAGCACCCGCGGTGCGGAGCCGATGAGCACCCGCCTTGCCATCCCCATCATTCTTTTGTTAGCTATTTTTAGGTGTAATCTTGTGACACCTATTGATGGTGAAAGCAATTAGCAGAGACTAACATCCTGCATGCTTTTAAAAATAGCAAAGCACGGAGAAAAGACTTAGTCAAGCACATGATGGGAACATGACAGCCTTAGCCTCCAGAGAAATCACAGGGCTGAACACACCACACACCTAAATAAAGAATTGTGTAGGGGTCCTGAGCATGAGGGGCATTTAAGCAAGAGGTTTAATAGGGAAAAAAAAAGATCTATGAAAAAGTTTAACTTGCTCACTCCAGCCCCTGACACGTGCATTTCACCAAGCAGCAGCTCTACAAATGCTGTCACACCTGTATGATTTACACAATTCACGTATCAGCACCGGCGAGTGCAGTCACCAGCTGTGAAAGTCACGTAAGAACCCACACTGCAATTTATGACCTGCCACAGTGACCACCTGGAGCCTCAAGAGCACATTACTCCATCCAGCCAACACTGTGCAACTGCTGGTCTAGGAACAACCAGAACCCTGCATGCCTGACCCAGGCTTGGTGCTTCAAATCAGGTAGAAAACTAATTAGAACAAAGCTGTGTAACACCCACATTAAATGGAACTGTCTTGTCTGTTTGATCTGGGATTTAGGTGGCTTTTTTAAGTTTGGGAAATCCAACTGATCCAAAGAGTCCATAAAGGACCCCATTTTCACACCACAGCTCAATGTGGTTTGGACACAGAAACCATGTTTGGACACTCAAGCCTCCTTTGAAAGGACTTCATTACTTCCCTAGAACTGGGAGACAGTAATGCAATTTCTTACCATAATCACAAACAATTCACAGGGCTGTGGGGAAGAAAGAATTGGAAAAGCAGCCTGCTTGTATGACTGCTTTTGTTAGCAGACAGAAAAAAGGCAATTATTTTCCTTGTGCATTCCTTGTTGCTGTTGAATTAAAAAACAAATACAATTCAAAGTGCACTCTATAATGAAAAACAAATACAACTCAAAGTGCACTCTATAATGAATACTTAAATGAATCCCTTCAAATAACTGAATTAGTTTTTAGATGAACAGAATAAATAGTGTTAGAAAAATCTGACCTAAAAGTGATGGGACTGAGAGTATCCAGTATTCAAAGTACCTGTTGCCTCCTAGACATCCTCTGGAAAAGTCCATCTGCAAAACACATATTATCACTGCTTCAGACTCAGTGTTGCACTTCCAGATGTAGAGGCATAGAAAATACAGAAGCAAGTGCTTTAAAAACATTTGCTTCAGAAGACAAAGAAATCTCATCTCTGCTGCTACAGCAAACATTGCTGGGAAAAGCACCACTATTACAACTGAGAGCAATCCACCTGGAGAGCTGGAATTAGACAGAGGGGGGAAATAAGTAAATAAAAGTCTCTTTGACATACTTGTTTTCCAAAGAGAAATGAAATGTATTTTTCATTTAGCTTGCCTGTATTTTATGCAATGTTGCTGCTATAGGGATAGGAGCATAATTAAGTATTTTAGTGTCACATCATTGAAAAAACCCAGAAGTGTACAATGGTATAAGAAAATTGACCCATAACAGCAAAAGGGAAAGCAGCAAATTCCCAATATTGACCAAAATAAATATAATCTTTCCATACCACAAATTGAATAACTTGGGATGTAACCTTTCCTATTGTTTGTATTGTGAAGAGTTGGTTGAGGCTCACTGGTTCAACTCTGGGTCGCTCATGTCAAGAGTGGCAACAGGCAGTCCCTTACTTTCCTGTGTAGGTGTTGGAGGGGAAAAGTAAGCAAAATCACTGAGGATACAAGAGTGTCCAAATTGCACAAAATGTTTATTGTTAGTCTGGTACATTCAGTATCATATTGACTAGAACACAGTAATTCAAAATACCTTTGGCGAATTGAAATCTTTAAAAACCATTTCAAATACTCCAAAAAAGCAATGCCATGAAAAATTAACTTAAAACAAACACATTCAAGCAATAGTTTCACTTCTGACTACAGAAAACCCTTACATGTATTTTAGTGGTTTTAACAGTACTGCATTTAAACAAAATAGATGAACTCACAAAAAGTGGAAAGTATTAAAATAGACACAATGTTAAAAAACTGAGGCATCCAGATGTGCGAGTGTTGTACTAGGAATCACCTGCCCAGATGTTCCATCAGTTCTCTTTTGGGGCAGTCAACTAGTCTGCTGTGGTGGTGCAGTTTCTCCTATCGCCTGCCAACACCACCCAGCAACTCTTCAATGCCTTGAATTTAAAGTTTGTCCCTCTTGTAAATTCTGTATACAAATGTGTGTGTTCTAAAATACGCAAACCACTGGCAAACCCAGGTGCAGTATTAAATGGTACCTTGGAAAACATCCCTATCTTTGCTACTCATTGTTTGCAGACAGGCAATATCCAGAACAAAATCTGAAAAGGCAACACATTTTGGTTTTGTTTTTAAATACTGACATGAAAAACTGAGTAAATTAGAAAAAGGATAAAGTCAATCTTAATATAAGACATTCATTATATAGTGGGACAGGATACAATTGTTGGACAACCAATGACTCTTCTACAGCTGGTCATTTAATGCACATGTTCTACAGTCATGATTTGCTACCACATTTGCTTTTCCTGTACAGAAAGACAGCAACACAATTAAAGACCAGTTTTACTCCGTGTAACATCTCAGAATGACAAGTGACACCGCATCAAGTCCTTCAAGCTCTCCCCCCTGGAAGGCTGTGCTTGTGATGAACCAGTAACCATGATTCAAAGTGGTCAGCAACTGCTCTGTAGCTGCTGCTCTGACCAGGATCTCCCAACAGAACAACCCCAGCAGAAGCTGGTGGGAATGGGTTCTGTTGGACAATTTAAATCCCTTTGAAAATCCAAGCCTTACTAATTACAGCACCAATACCTGTATATCTATCCTGGAGAAATGACTGACTCTGGTTTGGGTAGGGGGCTGTTAGCTGTCCGCCTTCCTTAATTCTGCCAACCCTTCCTAAGTCAGCTTTCATCCAAGCTGCTGCCTGGCTGGGCAGCGGGGTGTGGAACTGGGAATCTGGAGGAGAAAAATCACATTCTTTTTAAAGCACTTCATTTCCATCATTGATAAAGCCAAATTAAAGTGCTGTTTAAGTGGTACTATAGATGAGCAGGATACTACCATGTTAAAAATCAGCAGAATCACATTTAGATTTTAGTTTGTAAAAGTGGTTATTACAATTACACCTGTAATACAACCTTTGGAAGAGGTACAACGTTTGCTTGTCAGTACAGTGTGTGGAATGTAACCATTTCTTGCAAGATTTTGCAACATGAGGAACTGCATAGATGACACTTGTGTGGTTTCAGTTCAAGAGGTGTAAGTTCAAAGTTCACCAAAAAACACAGAAAGTTTCTATAAAAGTCACATTATACCAAGTTAATGGGTGGTAAAAGTAGATTATCTGTCCGTGATTCATGTTTAATTCATGATTAGTGGAAAGGTGATAGAAACCAATTGCAAATCCAGAGAGTTACATTTTCACTCTTGCACTGACTTCACCTTTTGAATCACTAATTTAGAAAAATTCACATAGTTAAAAACTGTAAAATTAAACTAGAATACAAAATTTATTTGTAAACATCAGGTAGCCAGTTCTACTAAGGTGGAATGGACTCTTGGTACTGCAGTACAGTATCTTGGTTATTTAACAGCACTTGCCATCTGATGGGCAATTGCAGGACACACACGACATCAGTTCACAGTAATTGTGTTCAGAGAACTACCAAAGTCAGTGCAGTTTTTTCTGTGCAATTTTCCAATCCCCCCACCCCCCCCCCACCAC